CCACACCCAACGCCCAGAGTAGCAGCTGTCAAAAAATCTAAACAACATAGTCTAGGGTTCTGAAGCTCTGTATCACATACTTTGGACATGTGGCCAAGAGGGACAGGTCCTTAGAGGAGGACATCATGCTGGGAAGGGTGGAGAGGCAGTTCAGGAGAGAGAGACCCCAGAGGAGATGGATTGACACAATAACTGGGGCAATGGGGTTTGGTGTGTCGGAGTCAGTGAGACTGGCTCAGGACAGGGCAGGCTTCAGAGCTGCTCTATAAAGGGTCACTATGGGTCACAGGTGGCTCAATGGGACATAAAAACAGCTATATCCCATTGGGTAAATCTACTGCAAAAGACCTCTTCCAAATGCTAAAAGTCAGAGACGACATTCTGAGAACCGAAGTACACCTGATGCAAGTCACTGTATTTTCAGTGACATCATATGCATATAGAGACTGGACAATGACCATGGGGTGTTGTGGAAGAATGAATGCCTCTCAGTTGCAGTGCTGGTGAAGACCACCAGAGAATACCAAACACACCAAGTGATGCCCGAATATATACATTTGTTTTGGAAGAAGTACTGCTCTTCTAAGCAAAAAGGACCCTTAAAAACAAATAAGCCTTAATGTTATGTACTTGGGACATGTTATCAAGCAGGACACATTCTTGGAGACTGACACCATTCTTGGTAAAGGAGAGGGTCAGTGAAAGAGAGAAGACCCCTCACAACGGCTGATACCGCAGCTGGAACCATGTGTCCATGTACAGAACCATGAGAAGGGCAGGAGAGATTTGCAAAAAGAGGAAAGGCTTTGCTCTGCTGTCCACAGACAGCGTCACTGTGAGCTGGCACTGACCCAGTGGCATCTAACAACAAATGACAGGCTGGACGGACAGGGCAGAAGGTGTCAAGGATGAATCTCAAGTTTCCTAACAATTCAAGGAGATGAATGTCCAAAACGACTTCTTCCCAGGAAGGGGAGGGGCGCGTATTGTTCAGGAATCGGTGGGTTAGGCAGGGTGGGAGACTGGGGGTGGGGGGGAGCTCACCAACTGTGGTCTCACCAGATCTGTCGCAGCTCCAGCACGGTTGGCGAGGCTTTTCAAGGTCCCAGAGGCCATTCTTCTGACTGCTTGGCGCCTGCGTTTTAGAACTGCACCCCTGCCTTTCTAAGACTCTCCTGGCAGAAGACTCAGGTGATCAGGAGGAGAACCGAACAGTGTGGAGGAAGGACGCTTGGGTCTGCATCTGAGCCTAAATGCTCATCTCGTCCAGCTGTTTGCAAGCAGAAGACGAGGGTCAGCAGCAACCAGGGCTCCTTTCAGCAGCAGGCTCAGGGTGGCTAGCCATTCCCACTGTCCAGTGGTCAGCCCAGAATCCTGACGACACCACGTGAGTCACGGGGGATTTTGCTCCAAGAGGTTTTCAGTGGTTGTTCTTTTAAGGATGTTACCAGACTTTTCTCCCAGTGTGCCTCTGAGTGAACTTGAACTTCTCATCTTGTTCATAAACAGCTGAGCTCAGGAATCACCGGCACCACCAGCCTCCCCCTCTGGGAACATCAAGTTAGTGCTTTAACGAGCTCTCCAGGTGAAGCCCATCGTACTAAGCTCAGCAGGTGCCGCACCAGGAAACCCTCCGTCCTCAGCAGATGTCAGACACAGAAACAAAACCCCTGAGATCACTGAAATGACACAGGTTCATTTTAGGGCACACGTTCTAGGACTTGAAAAGCCAGCCATCTACAACCTTCAGGGAATTTCTGGTTATTTGTAGCTTGTGACAGAAAAGCAGAAACCAGGGCTCGTTAACCAAATGAAATTCTGTGTTTTCCAAAAATGTGGTGCATGAGATTGTTGTTGTGGTTAAGTGCCTTCAAGTCTTAGACAACTCATACAAAGCGACCCTATGAACAAAAGACCTGAATACTTGTATAACTTTTATTGTTTCTCCAAGCTCATAGGGTTTCCGGAGGCAAGTTATTTCAGAAGTGGATGCCACTCCTGCTTCCAAGCTTGTTTTAATCGGGTAACTCCACCAAACACTGTCCGCCATGGGTGACCACTATTCACATTTGACTCATCAGTGTCACAGTGTTCAGCATCACAGCAACCACAAGTTACCTCTGTACAGCAAATGGACAGACCAGGGCTATACCACTTAGAAGAATGTTTGACCAAAAACAATTAAAACCAGGCCTGAGGGCTACAGATTAAAATCACCCACCTTTGACTTGGTAGCATCACTTTCTATCCACTAGGCCAACAGAGCTCTCTCTATGCTGTTGTTGTTGTTAAGTGTCGTCGAGTCGTAGACAACTCATAGCGACCCTATGAATGAAAGTCTTGAACACTTGTATAAGTTTCATCCTTTCTCCCAGTTCATAGGGTTTCTGGAGGCAAGCTATTTCTGAAGTGGATGCCACTCCTGCTTCCAAGCTTGTTTTACAAGCCCTGAATCCTGTCCCTTGGAAGAGAATAAGCTGCAGAAGCAGATGCTGAGAGAGAAACCGAACTTAAGCAGCGTCCACTGGGCGGGGCTCGTAGATGACCACAGAGTGTTGAGGACACAGAGTCGTCATTCCCAGTGCCACTGCTGAGGGTCCCAGGTCTGAGTGACAATATCCATACTCGCGTTCAGGCCAGACCTTGTTTGGATGCCCTCGATGCTGGCACTGAGGTCCACAAACGTCCAAGTGAGGAGGCTCAAAGCCCAGAACAAAACTTTCTCTGTCGGTTCACACAGCACCATCCTGTCCCTCAGCCAAACACCACTGATGATCCTACCCGCCCACCCAACGGAGCTGCAAAACACATCCACGACTTTGAGTCAAGTATCATATTTTTAATTCTGAGCAATAGTTTACTCAAACACTCCAGAATGAAAACAGAAAGGCAAAAAGAAATAATAAACCAGCTTAACAATGAATGATGTATAAACTTGGGGGTGGGGAGTGAATGGCTTATTTATAAATAAGCATCACTTTAAAACTAGGATGCAGGAAGTTGGGGGAGCTCAGGAATTCCATCCCCCAAACGAGGCACCTCCTGGAAACCAAGCCCTGCCCTTGGGTTTGGAGACTGGCTGCCTCACACAGGCCTTTGTGCACCAGGGCGGCCCTGGGTGAGATGTGGAGCTGTAAATATTTGCCCAGAGCTGGCCAGCTGCTTAGGTTGCAGCTGACAGACGGGGGGACAGAGGGGCAGGGGGAAGAGAGGGGTAGGTGAAGAAAGGGGTAAAGGGAATAGAGGGGAAGGGCAAAAGCCTGCAGGCCTGCTGAGCAGGACAGGATCAGGGAAAGGGACAGGCAGGGGAAGCAATGCAGACACAGGCTCTGGGACCCTTGGGCAAGTGTGTCCCTCCCACCAGGCCATCAGGGGCAGGGCGGCCACAGAGTGGCCACAAGCACAGTGCACGGCCTTCCCCAACAAGGTGGACGCTCTCACTTGTTGAAACTGTGGCCTTTACCATCAAGGAAGCCAGTGGTTCTCCCCAGGGTGCCCTCCAAAGAGCACCTGGCAATGTCTGCAGGCAGTTTTTATGGGAATCACTCAGAGAAGAGGACTGTTACTGTCACGGAGTTGGAGGAGACCAGGAACCAAACCAAACAAGCCACAGGGCACGTGACAACCCCACCAACACAAAAGCATGGGCTCCAAAGTGTCACTCGCACCCAGGCTGTGGACCCTCAGGAGAGACCCCGACGCTGAACCCCAGCTCAGCTGGACACCCTTAGAAAGACCCTGACCCCTGAACTCCAGCTCAGCTGTGGAGCCTGATGGAGACCCTGAATGCTCAACCCCAGCTCAGCTGTGGACCCTGATGGAGACTCTGAATCGCAGAGCAGGGAGGGCTGGATCTGAGCCAAGTTCTGTAACATTTCCAAACCTATTTCCTCATCGTGAAGGATCAGATAGTGCACGTGAAGTGCAGACTACAGTCGCTGGCACATAATAAACACTCAATAAAGTGTACTTGTGGTTAACCAGACGGGCAACACAATAGCGGTTATAAGCTTGGCCTGCAGAGACAGGTGTTTGTGGGTTCGATACCCAGCTCTGACACCTGAGCTCCGATTTAATCCTTGCCTGATTAAAAAGGTAAAGACCTGGAGCAGAGCAAGCACTGGCTGGTGGTGGCCACTACTGTCGCCACCATCCACCAGGGCCTGGGAGGACAGGTCAGAAGAAGCCCCTGGAAGCCGGAGCGTGTCCTCTCCACCAGCACACCGCCAACGCCTGTGCTGTGTCCCCTCCTTGGCTTCTGACAATCACCTAGTTTGTTTTCAGGGAAATGGGGGCACTTGGAGATTAAGTCTCCTGACTCGCCGCTGGACGGAACACGGTTCCAACTCTAGCAGACTTGTTCTTTAGTAGTTACACTGGGTGGCAGGTTCCTCAAATTCCTTCTAGAATTCCTGGGTAAATACCCAGGGTGCCTGGCCGTGCTCCCCTCTGCCGAGTCCCTCTGGACCACTTTCCAACTTTAGAGCATAAGCAGCTTGTTCAAGGTCACTCAGCTAGCTGGCAGCAGAGCTCACAGCTAAATTCAACTTTTCCTCCAGCGGCCTCTCGCTGGCCGCCTTCTTAATCCGCACTCGCTGTAGGATGCCTGACTTCTTTCTGGAACCCTGAGTGTACCCGGATAGAGGTGCTCTCTGTGACACTTGAACAGGGACCAGGGTGCCCAACCTTAACGTCCCAAGACCAGCCAGCTGATCTGAGCAGGAAAACCTCTGAATACAGTTCTGACTTGGAAGCTACATTGCTGCTGTTTGTTCTACGCTCGGTTGTGGGTTCTTGTCCGCCTCTCCAGACGCCCTGGAAGGCGCTGTGCTTCACTGGGTCTAGTCTACAAGGACCGTACGTCCAAGCTTAGAAAGGTTCAAGCCCTGGCGATGACACAGGCATGAAGAAGGAAGCAGGGACGTTCGTGGGATGCTCCTGCATCCCGGTAGCCAAAAGGACGCGCAGGGACCCTGGTGCCCTCTGCAGTGGGCGCCTACCTTGCCGCCTGACGGCGCGGCCACACAGCGGCTGAGCGAGTCGAGGCGCGCGCTGTACTCGGTGAACTTCTTCTGGTAGCGCAGCGCCGTCATCTGCAGCTCCAGCTGCGTGGCTGCCAGCTGCGCCACCAGCGACTTCTCGCGCTTGCCCGCGCGCAGTGCCTCCTTCTTCAGCGCCTTGTGCAGCGCGCCCAGCCGGGCCTGCAGCGCGCCGTTGTGCGCCCGGAGCGCGCGCGCGCAGCAGTGGCCGCCAGTCCGCAGCTCGCCGTGCGTCAGCGGCAGTCCGCAGCCCTCCTGGCAGCGCCCCACGGGCCGCGCGTCGCACGCGTCCCGCATGTGCGCCTCCACGTCGCGCCGCAGCAGCACCTGGCCGCAGCCCGGGTGGCGGCAGCGCGCCGGCGCGAAGTCGCAGCGCTCGGCGTGCTCGGGCAGCTGCTGCAGCTTGACCACCCGGCTGCAGCCGCGCGCCGCGTGCGCGCACTTGATGTCCAGCTTGAGGATGAGGCGCTTGAGCGGCAGGACGTGGTTGAGCTCCTTGGCCGAGAGGCGCCCGCGGCAGCGCGCCGGGCAGCTGCCCTCCTGCACCACCCAGGGCAGGACGCAGCCGGCGCAGAAGACGTGGCCGCACGGCGTGGTCAGCGGGTCCTCCAGGACCTTGTGGCACAGCGCGCACTTGAGGTCCGGGTCCACGTCGCCGTCGAAGCGGTCCAGCTCGAAGCCCATGGTGGCGGCCGGGCCGGGTCGCCGCCGGGCGGCCGGCCGCCCCCTCCCTGCCTGCGCGGCGGCCCCGACTCGCCGCCCGCGCCGCCGCCGCCGCTCGCCCTCCGCGGACTGAGCCTAATTGCTCCAGACTTCCTCGGAAAAGGCCCCGGGAACACGACTCCTCCTGCCGTATTTGCGCGAGCGCGAGCGCACGAGCGTGAGTCCCAGCGAGGCTTCCCGCCCCTTGCAAGTGGGAGGAGGCTGGGACCCGGGCCTCCGCCGCCGCCGCCGCCTCTCGTGCGCCCGGGGCTCTGCTCCCTCCCCGGCGGGCAGAAAATGCCAGCCGAGAAAAGTTCACCGAGTTCCAAGACGTGGCTGCAGCCTCGTCCCCATAAGTTCTTCTGGGGCCCCTCCAAGGCGATCGAGACTTTCTGCGCCCCCTTTCGCCTGTTCCGGTGACTGACTGCAGAGAGGGAACGCAGGGCCCCTCTCTCCGAGCACTTACGGCCCGCCCTTATTTATTTCAGGGAAAGTTACCGAGGCGGCTGGACCTTCCAGCTGCAGCCGGGACACGGTCCCGGGCCTGCGGACTCCAGCCGGCGGACGGGGGCTGGGGCCGGGGCCAGCCCGGCGCGGGGGGGTGGGACAGGCCACCCCCGCGTCCACGTCCCCCCGACACCTCGCGGGGTCGGCAGCGTGGCTCGCGCTGGGCTGGGCGCATCCAGATGTCGCCCTTGAAAACTCATCACCGTGCTGCTGGGAGAGAGTGTTAGCTCCGCTTGCAAATTCTTTTTCCACGATTCCAAAAGAAATAACTCCAGGTCGTAAAAAATTAACTGCAGAAGTCCCCGCGCCATCCCCCACGACCCTGCTAGCTGTGCGCCCACAGCTTTGTTTCCGACGAGCATACTTGGTTCTTGGTTGTTTCCATTTTACTGTTGGGATCTTGGATGGGAGGAGAGGAAAGTTTGTCAGGGAATCGGGCAGAGCCTTGTTTCTCGGATTTCAGTGTGGATGCTGATCCAGCTCGGGCCAGCTGAGGGTCATGTGCGTGTGTAACAAGCTCCCAGGTGATACGGAAACTGGGCTACTTTAACCCGAGCCGCCAGCTGCTCAAAAGGGAGAGCGGTTGCCCATTCCGCCCCCCTCTCCCAGAGGCTAGTGGATTCCAGTCATGCACCTTTGGGTTGGCAGCACCAACTCCTTTCCCATTAGGCCACCATTTGCCTGCAAAAGCCTGGTCTTTTTATCCCTGCTCTGAGCTAGCTTTCGGAGCTGGATGGTGAGTCTGGCTGGGTGCAAAGGAATAATCTTGGATTCAAACCCTTGTGGAAAAGTCAGTGTTTGCCTGTCCATGTGGTGATACTTGTTTGTGCAAAGACTTTGAACTCCTAAGACTGCAGTCAGGGTGACTGAGAAGAAAATGAAGTTATGGAATTCTCATTTGGAATCTGCTGCCAGTTTCTGAAGAGCAACGTGGAACAGTCAGAGCTTCATGACTCTCGGGGCCTGGAAAGGGGGGCTGCAGGCAGCCTTGTCTTGTCTAATTGCCTTTTTCTCCCCTTTCTGCAGCAGAAACTCCATGACCACCACCATTTAACTGCTTCACTGGAGTGAAAGGACGGCCTTTGCTGTCTCTACCGATTACTTGTTCTGAACTGACCTTTCCAGGTCGCCGTTGACTAGATTTTTGTGGTGTGTTGTTGAGTTGGCTCCACATCCTTTAATCAGCGCTGGTGGCATCTGCCTGTCTGTGATAGAGGCTTTTTTTGTCAATAGCTTGGATCGATTCATGAATTCACTGATAGCGCCTGGGTGGGGTGTTACTGCCTTGTCCTCAGATAAACATGTGCTGAGAATCTTCTAGTAAGAAAGCTCTCCTCTCACAGTAAGAATTTGAGCAAAGACACGTGGGTTTGTCAGCTTCTCCCGGTGGGCTCCTGTCAACAGGGCTGTGATCTGACCACACTGGTTCTGAGAGCCACCTGAGGCTCAGGAGATCTGGCACCGTGAAGGGGCAATCCATGCTGGCTTTTGATGTGGGCTTTTCTTCATCTAAGAGTGTCCCCACCGCCCCTCCATGGCCCCTCGCATGGCCAGATGAGAGGCTGCTGCTGAAAGGTGACAGCTGAGCCCACAGAGGGGCCATGGCTGCTTTGGAGAGAGCGCATCCCCCACAAAGTCTGTCAGAGCCTTAAGTCTCTGGCCAGTTTCAGGGTGTATTGGAATTATAAGAGGTCAGGAAAATAAATAAATTAAAATAAAATAAAAAATAAGTCCTAGATTGTGTACACTTCTAAGACCATGCCCATTATTCAGCCTTTGCTTATGTTTAGAGCAACTTGGGCTTAGAGTCTGTTGTCAAGGACCTCTCCAGAGTGCTAAGGAGTAACACTGTCCGTTTAAAGGCTTGAATTGATCCTGATCCAAACCACAGTCTTTTCCATGACTTCCTATGTATCTGGAAGTTGGATAAGGAATGAGAATGACGGAAGAAAAGTGGAAGCCTTTGCCTTGCGGTGCTGGAGAAGAGTGGTGAAGACCCCAAGGACTGCCAAAAGAATAAGCACCTTGGAGAAAATGCAAGGAGGGTGCCTTGGAGGCAGGGATGGTGAAACTTGATCTCACAGGCTGTCCTCATGTTGTCAGAGGCCAGTCTTTGGGAAGAGGCCTCCAGCTGGGAAAGGGGGAGGGTCAGTGAAAGAGGAAGCCCCTCAAGATGGGTTGACATGGTGACTGTAACAACAGCATTTCAGAGATGGGGAGTCCAGTCCAACATAGGCTGGCATCTCTTGTGTGCTGGATTGCTGTTACCAGTCATGGGCTACTTGAGAGCACCCATCAGGAAGAAGGGTCAGAAGGTTTATGAGAACCGTATAGGTGAACCTCAACCTGGGCACCATGACAGATAAGCCCTTGTCTTGGGGACTGTCCTGTGCATTAATGAACGTTTGGCTGGATCCCCACTCACTATTCACTAGATGCCATCAGCCTAGCCCCATCTTGCCAAATGTCTCCTAAGGGTAAAAGTGGCCCAGGCTGAGAAGCAAGGTCTAGGGCAACATTTAGTTCTCTGCCAAGGTCAAGTCAATTCTTCTGCTATTGCTGTGACCTTTAGTTCTCTGCCAAGGTCAGACAATGCTTCTGTTATTACTGTGTTCTGTCAAGTCAGAGCCAACCCACAGCTGATGGATTCAAGCCACCTATCTTTGCGTTGAGAATGCAATTTCTTACCACTAGGCCACCAATGCAATACCAGGCAGCACTAACAGCTGACATTCTGTGCTGGGTGGGGAAAGATAAACAGAGTGTACTGGAAATACACCGCCCCCAAGGAACATGAAGAGAAGTGGTAGAAGGTGGAAGGTCTTCTGTAAAAAAGAGCCCCAGGGTGTGGGAGTGGTGGCTGACAGCTGCCACTGAGATGACCCTAACCCAACTCGCAGCATCTCTGTCAATGGCACAAAACACTGCCCAGGCCTGTGCCAGCCCGTGGTCACTCAAAGATGGAACCACTGTGGTCTCCAGACCTTTCTTCCTAGTCTGTTGAGTCTAGCCAGCTCTGCAGAAACCTGCTCAGGGCTAGAGCGTGGTGCAAGCCTCTGAGGGAAGGCGTGCTCAGACAAGGCTATAATCCTGTCCACAGACAGATCGCTTATTTTCAGGTCATCTCGGTATGTCCTGCTACTCCTGCTGCTACTGCTTCATTTTCCCATCAAATCATGCACCTTCTAATCCACTGCGATCCTAAGTCTTAGACAGGTGATTTCTATGTCCCTCACTGTCATATTCTAAACTCTGTTTGCCCTGACCTTGGCATCAGTGTGTTGAATTAGAAGATGAGACTATTAACCACCATTTGCCAAGCCAAGCGGTGTGCTCTGTATCTGCGGCCCGTGATTTTGTGATTTCATTCAGCAGTCTTTATTGCACATCAGAGACGTGGGGTGTTAGCTCCTTTTAACAGGTGAAGAAACAGGCTCACAGATAATACAAATAGCAGTCAGGAAGAGTGGAGGGTGGGTTCCAGAATCTTCCTTCTAACCACGGTGAGCCCTATGCTGCAGCCCCCAGGGCACCTGCCTCTCAGGAGACAGGAGGCTCTGCACATCCTTGAGATCGTCCCTCCTTTCCATGTTACTCATCTCATTTCCCCACGTGTCAGTCTTCAGTGGTCCCTTGACAGTGAATAATCTGTGAGATCAGAACTAGAGAACACAAAGAAGTCAAGGTTATTTGTTTCTTTGGTGTCTTCTCAAGGTCTAAATGTTTGTGCTTAATTAGCTGAAATGGTGTCACTGGGCTGGATTAATCAGCATCTTCTTTCACGAAAGGTGCTCTTGTGACTGACAACTGCTTTGGAATAAAATTGGTGTTCCCTCTCACCTCCAAGAGTCTACACTGTCTTGAGTCTGTGGCATCTTCTATGTCACACACACGTGCACATACCCGTGGCATCTCATGGTCTGGTCATTTGGTTGGTCATGTGGAGGTGGTTGGTCAGCATCCAATAAAAAACTATGTGGTGCAGTGAGTAAGAGCTCAGGTACCAGCAGAAAGATCAGAGATTGGGATCCACCAGCCACTCCGTGTGGGTAAGCTCTGCGCCTGGACACATGGACAGCTGTGGGGAGCTATGGGGGCAGATCCTTTCTATCCCAGTCGGGTGCTCTGGGTGGAACCAGTCCCCAACAACAACATGTTAGAGACGCTTTGCTCTGGAAACACAAACTGAAGCACTGGAGAGAATTAGGGACCAGGGCAGCTTAAGATGAAAGTGAGTGGCTACTTAAAGGGTGATAATGAGACCACAGTGGCAGAACATTCCAGACAAAATCAACAGAAAGTGCCAAGATCCAGGGGGAGTCTAGAACTTGGTCAATTTAAGTAAAAAACACAGGCCTACAGCTTCAATGCAGGAGGGAGCAGACTCAAAAAGGTAGAGGAATGGGCAGAGGTCAGCCAGATGTGGGTCCCCAGGACATGAGCCACAAGGACTTTCAGTCTAGTCTAAGAGGAGGTGCCATCAGAGTACTTCTCAGGAAACAGTGGGAACCACTGATCAATATATTTTCATTACACTAGATACTACACATTAT